CTCATTATTCCATGACCACCATTTTGTGCAATCATCAAGTGGCTTCACGATGTAATGATTTAATGTTTTTTAAATAATTTTTAATCTGTTTTTAACTTGTCTTGTCATATTTTATATAATTTTGACCATTGTACCATCTATCCAGCTCTCACCATGTTACTGGACGTTTCCCTCATCCTATACGTAAACAACAATTAGCAACATCCTCACATACTACTGTAAGTTGAGTCAATTTAAATTCATTTTACACTATTGTTGCTACTGTTATCATTGTAATTGCAGCTCCTGATGATCATGGCAAAGTCCATTGAAAGCTAGAGAGAATTAAAAAAGTATAAAGAGTCCTCTTTGCTTAAATTTTGTCGAAGTACCCAACAAAAGGCGGAAGCTTTAATTTTTCACCTATACAGGGTGACTTCGAAGTTGAGTCATTCATTTTAACAGTGAGTAGATCTGATCAAAAGAAATGTTTTTTTCCTTTACCATTTTTCTGGTAAAATTAAAGTAACAAAGTTATAGCCCTTTGGAAGTTTGAGTACCGCCCTGTCTCAATAATATCATGTACTCGTGTTTGGCAACAACGGATATAATCCACCTTATCGGTTCATCGCATCGGAAACAAAAAAGCCAAAGAATTTGGAACGATGTTTATTTTATTCAGTTCAGTTATACATACAGTCAATGTCAGTCGCGTGTGAATAGTGTCTGTTGCGTGGCTCAAACGAAATAAAAAATGGCACATGTTTATGCGGATCGGTTTCCCAATCGAGTGCAACCAACCCCTCGTGCCTTTGTTAATGTAGTACAACGGGCTCGTGAATCAGGTGACTTCAGACCTCACAGGGGACCTCACGATCAAATACAGGTCCGCACTGAAATACTTGTCGGGAGGATACTTTATAAAACAAGGTAAAATTTTTTTTTTATTTTTTTTTATTTTTACACACATATTTTGGTTTATCTTCCTTCTACAATCATTATCTGAAAATTAATGACTCAACTTCAAAGTCACCCTGTATATATACATGTGTATTGAGAATACGTGTATGACGAATTTTTCCTTATCCAAGCCTATTGTCCTATTATAGGCCTCGTACCATGAATACGGAGTATTACATAAATGGAACTGCTCAAGAGTCTAATAATCAACTTACGGGGGTTTTGTTAGATGACTCAGCTTTGGTCCGAAGCGTTTTTGATCTGAAAGGAAAGAGTATACGTAACGTATTACACAAACACAGCCTAGTCGGATAATTCAATCAGCAGATGTGGTACTTTTGCTCAATACCAAATGAATATCAACATATTGTTGGCAAACATGCTTAGTCGTACTCGTACACGATTAATATAACTTTTTTGTCATACTTCTTGTATGAACTTAGGCCTTCCCGCTGCTCCAAAGAAATCTCTTCAATGGAGGAAAAATCGCGATAAAAAAGTTTCTTTTTTTCAGTATCGCTTCGATTTTTTGAGGATAAATACACAGATGACAGCTTTCACTGCCGACAACCATTAAGCAAATGGCAAGGTAGGTCTTGCTACTATTCGTCATTTGTTTATCTGGGCGGTCCGTAGGACCTTTCCCCATTAGTCACTGTCTAATGTACGTTAGTTGAATCTGTCAGTCCTGGTTGCCCAGAAACCAGACATCGGCAAGAAAAAAGAGAAAGGGAAAGAGAAGAAGAAATGCGAAGAGCAAAGAAAAAGAGAAGTGTTTTGTTTAAGAGGAAACACCTAGGCTTTTTGACGTGGTACACGGATTAATTTTGAGGTGAACTAAACAAAATTTTGATTCAGGTTTTCTTAAAGTGTAATTTTGAGTTTACTGAAAGTTCGCGCTAATTTTTGATCACAGTGCGAGCCGTGGCCTTGAATGGGTCCGTGTCGCTTTGCTGTCAAGACTTGCGTTTGAAAACATGTGCAGAGTTAGGTTGCTGCCGTGTTGTTTTACTTCTAAATACACCTCTCTCTGTGATACCTTTCCCTTCTGACAGACTACACTTTTAATATCAACATCGATTTTTTGCTGTGTAAATGCAGACGACACCAACGTCTGAAGGCACCCTTTTCTCGTTCACGTCCACAAAGCAGAACGGCAAAGATTGAACTCGCGCTTTGCTATGAGGGAATGGAAAAAGTGGTGCCGAGACAGAATTATAGATTATTGCGATGTTTCTGCATCACGTTCCTTACAAGACGTTGCCTTCAGTTTACATGCAGACGCTACGCTGGTTCAATTTAACTGAGAAAATGCTGGCGCAAAATCGGTTTCGCCTACGTGTATCGATATACGTAACCTACAGTTATCCAGAACAATTTCTTTGTCGTTTTTTAGGGATTCAGCAGTTCTTTATCCAAGCAGAGAAGCTAGCACATTGTTTGCTATTTATAGGGTTTCCAATAATATGTGGCTAATCTTTCTGAACATGAATACAGAACATTAAGAGATGATAAGACACATCCTATAAAAAGTGGCTTACGGAGCATATGCACTGGACAAGTGGATGTCGCTAATATAAGGTGTTGATTGTCAAGTGTCTTCTATCTCGACCGAACCTCTACAGAGCATTTTGCAAGTGTTTAGACTATCCAAGACCCGTGTTCTTACCAAAAAATATTATTTTTCGAGGTTCTTTGTTCCCTGAAATTTCACGACATCGATAACTGCCGTATATATTTCAATCAATCTGAAAATTCGACATCGACTACATCCGTATGAGTTGTTCATCAAATGAACTACCGAACCTAATTTCACCGAAATGTATCTGTTAATCTACACGTCCAACTGTACTACTAGCAACTACTTCTGTTCGGTGGTACTGACAAAACGCGCACATTCAGCCACCAGACTTTTATCGGATAAATGCTGAATTTGTATGAGAGCAAATTGGTTATCAGGGTCACAAGAACGCGAGGAGACATGGGAAAAGTAATATGTTCCTGATGTCAACGGCTCTGACGAGAACGCCTCTTGTCACTTCTGCGATCCTAAAATAGAATCTTGAATAGACCTGACTCGCACACAGCCAATCCAGATCACCTAAAAGCAAGAACATATGAAAATACTATTTTAGTCCTGATGCCGATGGTATTTTCTCCGATATCATCCGGCATCTTGAAAACTCGAAATTTGCACCACCTGTTCAGATTTCCATCTTATAAATATACTAAGTGATATATAAATCCGAACACCCAGTTTAAATGGTTTTATTTTAATAAAAGTTGGTGAATGTATTTATCTTACTGTAAATAACAAGTGAAAAAATGTTCAGCCTTATCAGTTGGACATTCCGGTTTTTATACTGCTTTTTTTTAATTCACTAACGCTCTAAAAATGAATATTTCAGCCGCAGTAAAGAATCAACGTTGGCGGATTTTGGTTCTTGACATCGTTTACGATCGTTTACGATGCCTAGAGTACGGAGACCTGTACGATTTCGTCAACTTAGTGAGTGTGATAGGGGCCATATAGTGGGACTTCGTGAAGCTGGACTTTCTTTTCGGGCAATTGCAGTTAGAGTGCAAAGAAGTATAGCCACTATGGTTAGGTGTTGTCAGGCATGGCTTCGAGAAGGCCGTACGCAAAGAGCAAGGGGCACTGGACGCCGCCGTAGAACAACAGACCGTGAAGATCGCCGCCTAAGATTATTGGCCTTAAGGGACCGTTTCTCCACTACCAGGTCCATTGCAAATGAATGGTTTGCAGAACACGGAAGACCTATTGGCATGCGAAGTGTTTACCGACGAATGAGAAGTTTTGGCTTGTTTTCGTACCGGCCACACTGGGTCCTCCCTTTAACTCGAGAACACCGACGTAATCGCCTTGAGTGGTGCAGATAACGGTCACTCTGGGATCAGGAATGGAACAGTATTGTCTTTAGTGACGAGTCTCGATTTTGTTTAGGCATGCACGATGGTCGTGCCAGGGTTAGAAGGCGACGTGGTGAAAGGAGGAATCCACAGTTTTTTGTTGAAAGACATGTTCATCACACTGTTGGAGTTATGGTTTGGGGTGCTATAGCTTATGGTTCCAGGTCACCTTTAATCTTCATCAAAGGTAACATGAACGCGCAGCGTTATATCCACGAAGTACTAGAACCCCATCTTTTACCCTATCTTGACACCCTGGCAGATCCAACTTTCCAACAAGATAATGCCCGACCACATGTTGCAAGAGTCACAATAGACTTCTTTCAACATAATGATGTCACATTGTTACCATGGCCACCAAGATCTCCCGACTTATCCCCAATTGAGCACGTGTGGGATATGATGGGTAGGAGATTGCTCAATTTGCAACGTCCTCCTCAGACTCTAGAAGCACTTCGAGAGGAGTTGGTGGTTGCCTGGAATGAGATACCACAGGAGGACATTGACCACCTGATCAGAAGCATGCCTAGGCGCGTTGGAGAATGCGTAGCACATCAGGGTGCATCCACACATTATTAAAGGTCAAAGGGCTTTAAAGCAGTGCAATCACTTTGAAATTTTTATCATTTACTTATTATGCTTCATTAAGTACTTATACAAAATTTTATTAAAATAAAACCATTTAAACTGGGTGTTCGGATTTATATGTCACTTAGTATATTTTCATAAATAACTCGGTTGCTTCCATCCCATGCTAGATCTTCCACCGTCAAGAAATCAATTCAATCTCGAAATTTTCGCCTCGGGGATTTGTTTACAATAAATCAACAAATGTACATCTATAAATTGATATCACCTTCTGAATTAAAAGCTATTAGTGTTGGATAAATATTATTACTCACCTGTTGAACTATGTATTTCTTTTATAGTCAGATGAATTTATTATTGTTTTCTGAAATCTTCCAATGTCAAAGGCTGATGTCGCTGATGTCGAGGTACTATTTTGCGTACCGAACTACTTGCACACCTCGCTTGTTCCGCATAGTTGCCAATTTTATTTCAGAATTTCCTTATGTTTATTATTCAATAAAATTTATGTTGCCACATTTATTCACGATATTTCCTTGAATTTATACTAGGAACCTTCTCATTTTGAGATTAGCCAACAACGTTTGGCTCCTAATGGTCAGGCGTACAACTATATTTGGAAATATCAAGTCGAAAAAATTAAATTTTGGGATGGGACTTCCTTCCACTATCGGAGAGCCATCTTGTTCTGTTCCGCTAGTGCCAGAAGATCTGAAATGTTCCTCTTTTTTGCCTGGGGCATGTTCGTTGGATTGTAGATAATTTCCTGGGTCATTCCTGTTGTGAGTGCGTAGCATCTTTTTTTTTTCGTCTGCTCTTGGACCCGAGAAATTCTACAATTTGTAGGATCTTATTGTCTTCAGCCACACTTTTCGCCAGATGGAACCACGTGAAAAACCCTACCTGACATCATCCAGGGCTTTTATTTTGGGGGAATCTTCGCTACTGGAGATCCATTGACACGTTTTCTACCGGGGACCTCTTTCCGAACAGAGACCCTCTTCCCACCATAGGGATTCTTACGTCTTTCGCATTAAGGGAGATCTCCTAGTTTGGCTGGATTAAATTTTTGTTGTTAGCCGTTAGTAGATGTAATAAAATGTATTGATGTTAATTTTGGCAATTATTTACCCACACAGAAAATCTATTATTTGTATGTATTTTTGTTTTTGTTTCTTGGGGTTTTGGGCTAAAGAGTGCCTTTCAGCACCAATGTGTCTTCCAGTTTTGGCGGATAAAAGCTGGTGGCGCCCCTAAAAAATCCCCCCCTACTCTCAGGTGTGCCTGAGCATAGGGCCTAATTTGCCAACGCTGAACTACGGCTTTAGCCTCAGTAACCACCTAGTTTTTTTTTAATCGTCCATTGCCTCAATTGAGAGAAATAACTTTAGCTTAAAATTAAAAAGTGATCCTAATTAAAAAAAAAGAGCTTGGCAGTGTAAGCTATTTACAGTGAAAACCCCAAGCAACAGTGAAGCTTTAAATGAAATGATTAGATGACGAAATGATTCGTAAGACATTTCAATACCAGATGTCCACAAAAAACTAATTAATAAATCGAACTAAAAAAAGGAAAATAAATAATAGTTTAAAAAAACTAAAAAAACACGCATTTATAGCTAACCGAACTAAAAAGTAGAAATTAATTTTTACTTACGAAGGGTTTATATTACGATAGTATATGGTCAAAAAATCAATCATAATCAATCACTTCAAAATAAAATCATCATAAAATTTAAGTTATTAACAGAATTCAATGCAGAATAAAAAGCGCGGGATGCTTGACATATTAAATGTTAAAATCATTCTATTGGCAACTGTCTATGAGAGGAGAGTTATGAAAATTTAGTAAAATGCACCCCACGCTTTTTACTCTGACTTGAATTAATCTGTTAATAACTAAAATTTTATTATAATTTTATTTTGAGGTCATTAATTATGCTTGATTGTTCGACCATCTACCATCTACTACTGTAACAACTCTTTGTAATTAAAAATTATTTATATATATATATATATACAGGGTGTCCGCAAAGTTGGGGTTTTCCTTTTCAGAAACAGCTACCCTTGAAATAACAAAGGTAATGTGTAGTGAAACGAGGTCGACCAAGTAAAAAAAAAAGGAAAAAGTACTCATAAATAATACGGCTCCAACAGAAAATGAAATCAGCTGTTGCACTACCGCGCAGACGCCGGCGGTGGTGCAGACCACGAACAGAGGTAACAAATATGACAAATTTGGGAGAATAAATGGTCCAATGAGCATACCGTTCACCATGCCAGCCCAAACATTCACCGAAAATGTTTGTTGAAAATGTGCCCGACGGACAGCGTGCGGATTTTCTACTGACCAAACATGATTGTTGCGAAAGTTATTCACCCCATTACGCGTGAACGTAGATTCGTCTGTCACCAATATGCACTTCAAAAAGTCCGGATTATATTCATGTTGATGCAACAACCACTCACAAAACCGCACTCTTGCTGGAAAATCGTCAGGTTGAAGGGCTTGTACACGTTGGACGTGAAACGGATACAGCCCCTCTTCACGCAGCGTTTGCCACACTTTAGTTTTTGATACTTGCACTTCTCTAGCCACGTCTCTAGTGCTTGTTGTTTTTTGAAACGCAATCGATTATACGGGTTCGTTTACCTCTACACGCGTGACCGTAACCGTCGGTTGAAGGTTGCATACTGACCTGACATACTGACCCCGACCCACTTGTACCAGTCGGTGATATCGCTGGTCGCGGCTACAGGACGGTATTCAGATATCTTTGATGTTGCAGAGCCCTTTATCTCGGTTCCCTTAAGACATTGGTGTATATGGTACTAAGAAACATTGCTTATGTTTTCAAGATCTACACGTCGTGTAAAGGAAAACCCCAACTTTGCGGACACCCTGTATATATATATGAGCGGTAGTCATTTCCAAAGCCAACGACTAGTTGGGTACAAAATACAATTACTTCTTAATTGGGAGAATTGGCAAAACTTTTAGGCTTAAGTTAACTCTTTTGACGATAAAATCAAGCTTTCGGCATTCTCTATGGATCCTTCATCAGGATTCTGAAAACACAATTGTGATGCTAGCAAAGAAAACAGGACAGATTTAAATTGTCAGACCACTTACTCGTCGGTGAGGTTGCAGCCACAAGGTGTTTCAGAACGAACGTAGAGAAGATCGAAATTGTGATCAGTATAAAAAACAAAAGGACGGGGACATTGGGTTTGTTGTAAAACCACAGATACCTTCGTTAAATGTGAAAAATATTAAACTACCCGAACAAGTTAAAAATATTACATGTGAGACGACATTTTGTTAAAACATTCAGAATGCAGATTCTAACCATCTGTACTCGCAACACGTGGAGAGGGGGACGGCACGGAAAGATAAAGCGTCGACAGATGACAAGTGATTGACGTTTTCTTTTGTGTAGCTCATATGAGTGTAAGAATGTGTGATATTGATACAGCCTTGAAAAAGAAGGTTAGAATCTGCATTCCGATTGTTTTAAAAAAATGTCGTCTCACGTGTAATATTTTAACTTGTTCGGGTAGTTTGATATTTTTCACATTTAACGAAGGTATCTGTCGTTTTATAACAAACCCAATGTCCCCGTCCTTTTGTTTTTTATACTGATCACAATTTCGATCTTCTCTACGTTCGTTCTGAAACACCTTGTGGCTGCAACCTCACCGACGAGTAAGTTGTCTGACAATTTAAATCTGTCCTGTTTTCTTTGCTAGCATCACAATTGTGTTTTCAGAATCCTGATGAAGGCTCCATAGAGAATGCCGAAAGCTTGATTTTATCGTCAAAAGAGTCAACTTAAGCCTAAGAGTTTTGCCAATTTTCCCAATTAACAAGTAATTGTATATATATATTTATATATATATATATAACTTGAGACGTGGTCATTGTCGTCTAGACCAGTTAGGTGAAAAATTAAAGCTTCCGCCTTTTGTTGGGTACTTCGACAAAATTTAAACAAAGAGGACTCTTTATACTTTTTTTAATTCTCTCTAGCTTTCAATGGACTTTGCCATCATCATCAGGAGCTGCAATTACAATGATAACAGTAGCAACAAAAGTGTAAAATGAATTTAAATTGACTCAACTTACAGTAGTATGTGAGGATGTTGCTAATTGTTGTTTACGTATAGGATGAGGGAAACGTCCAGTAACATGGTGAGAGCTGGATAGATTGTACAATGGTCAAAATTATATAAAATATGACAAGAACAAGTTAAAAACAGATTAAAAATTATTTAAAAAACATTAGAGCATTACATCGTTAAGCCACTTGATGATTGCACAAATTAGTGGTCATGGAATAATGAGTGAGGTGACACCCTTTTGACAGAAGGCCGAAGGATGTCAATGTCTGTGTTGAAAGATGGAACGAATTGTGGGCGTGTGCCAAACGTTGCCAAATCAATTCAGATGATGTGATTTTCAGAATTTTATGTAAGAATTTGTTAAACCGACCAGAGGCAGTTGAATAAACTATATTTTAATTAATGTGAATTTAAATTAACAATTATTAATAAATCGTGAGAAGAGAATTATTATATTTTGAGTGGAATGAAATTTACTGGTGGAATCGGCCAAAACACAGATTCTAATTATGGTTGTGAAGAGTCGAAATTTGGGGAGATATGTAAGTTCTCCAATTTTTCGCAGTTTAGCAAATATGAGTAAATGACACTCAGTTGTTTAACATCTGTCTTTTTGTTGATACAGTTGTTATTCATGAAGATGTGGGACATTTCCAGGAATTCTTACATAAAATTCTGAAAATCACATCATCTGAATTGATTTGGCAACGTTTGGCACACGCCCACAATTCGTTCCATCTTTCAACACAGACATTGACATCCTTCGGCCTTCTGTCAAAAGGGTGTCACCTCACTCATTATTCCATGACCACTAATTTGTGCAATCATCAAGTGGCTTAACGATGTAATGCTCTAATGTTTTTTAAATAATTCTTAATCTGTTTTTAACTTGTTCTTGTCATATTTTATATAATTTTGACCATTGTACAATCTATCCAGCTCTCACCATGTTACTGGACGTTTCCCTCATCCTATACGTAAACAACAATTAGCAACATCCTCACATACTACTGTAAGTTGAGTCAATTTAAATTCATTTTACACTTTTGTTGCTACTGTTATCATTGTAATTGCAGCTCCTGATGATGATGGCAAAGTCCATTGAAAGCTAGAGAGAATTAAAAAAAGTATAAAGAGTCCTCTTTGCTTAAATTTTGTCGAAGTACCCAACAAAAGGCGGAAGCTTTAATTTTTCACCTATATATATATATATATATATATATATATATATATATATAGCAAGTAGGAAAATAATGGGCAAAATCCGCAAAAAGGAGGAAAGTGGATTCGAGCAGAAAATAGGATAGGTAACCCGAGCGACACGTATTTCTGCTGGTTGGCTTCATCAGGCCCGAAATGAATGCACATATGAAACTACAAAAGTAGATACACATGCCCACACATCCGGTTACGGGTGTAACCTGAGGAAGCGAAGTTGGAGGGGGAAAAAAATCGACACACAAAGTCCACAACAAGAGCCAACCTACACATTGTAGTATAAAATGGCTATACGACCTCGAATTTTCAAGGAGACGTCTGACCACCACCACGCGGCCGGTTATAGCCACTTGCTTTGCGGATTTTGCCCATTATTTTCCTACTTGTTGTTATATACCTTTCTCCGCATGATCATATTCTCTTTGTAGATCCTTTGGGCTTGAAGGACCACAGCAAG